TTAATACCCACCACATTTCTCTTCTGTAATGCAGAGAGCAGAGTGAGCCCGGTGAAGAAGGGTCCCTTCAGAACAGACGCAGCCTTCTGTCAGCACTGAGCAGGGCTCCAAATCCAGAGGAGAGGGCTCACCATTCTGACACATACTTGGAACGTCACAGGCAGCTATACAGGCCTGGTAGGTGGTGCCTTCAGAGCAGGGGAAGGCTAACAGGGCAATAAAACACTTAAAACAGACCCCATTTTGAAGCTCTATAACACATAAGGCTCTTGTCTGGTACAGAAGGGTACAAACAGGACTGTGTGAAATTCCTATCTGTTACATTGCTATGCATTGCTCAGCTCCTATATGCAGTCTGAAGTGATCAACAAATCTGCACTGCATTGTCAAGAGCAAACTTTGAAAACAATGTAATTCATTTTCTCTCCCACATAACATTCTTTTCCAAAGTCAATAGCTAGCCTTTTGGGGGGAAGTAGGGGAGAGCCAGAGAAACAACCCCAACACACAATTTCTTCCTCTTCATAAACCAGTTCACATCTGTAAAATGTGTAAAATGCAGGTTATCTTTACATATATTTATATAGAAATGTTTGAATATTTTCCAGAGGCAATGAAATGGCAAATATATTGATTACTGTAGCATCTGGCAAACCTTTATCAATTACAGCAAGTTGCATATGCAGGCAACCAAACTTAACACCTTTACACCCAAATTATTGTGAATGGGACAACTGCTGTGCTCCCATACTTAGTAGCTACTAACATTAATGATTATGTTTGTGGTATTAGTACTGTCTTTTGTATCCACTTCTTTGCTTTTGCGAGTTCTTCTCTTTTAACAGCAGTAAATATGGTTACATGGGGCATAGGCCTGGGCAGGTGGTTTAATGACACAACATAGTCTCTATATTATGCCTTCTCACTTTGATGAAGTTCTGTCTGCAGAACACCTAAAATGAGATCCTCAGCTGGTGAAATTGGTGCTTCAGTTTCCACAAATTTACAGCAGCCGGGGATCTGAATTATTATTTTTTTTTTTTAAAAAAAGCTCAAATCTTCTATTTTCTCTCACAGTAAAAAACAACGTGCTTGCTTTAGTCATACCTCTTGAAAGCCTTAGGAGAATGTTACTCTTCTTTCACGTAAAATGGCTATTTAGAGGTTTATCTGTGCTAATTTATAAAGTGAGATATTTTATTAAATGAGTGTTGTGGAAGGCCTTTGTCCTGCAGCCAATAGCACATGGCATTGAAGGGAGAGGTTTTTCATAATGGTCAGTTTCATAGCCCTAATGATTTTATGATTATTGTGGGTATATATTTCCTAAACAATCTATAATGGCAGGGGTACTAATGTCATACATGAAGGGGCTTCTAGAAATGTGTTGCTATCTTCTTGGTCTGAGAGCTGTGGGGAAAAGGCACAGTTTTGAAAAGCTGCGTTATGGCCCTGCAGTGTGGTTAGCACAGAGTGCAGTGTGCTCAGTAACTCCCGTGTGTGATTGTGATGACAAGTAATTCGCACAAAGTTGCTAACTGGAATGATGGCTATGATGGGAGATCAGAATCCAGTTCCCAGAGGGAGTGTTTGGTCAGGAATGGGGAAGTTTCCAATTAAAACAAATAATCCTAAGGGTTAGTAGTAGTAGAAGAGGGAGTTTATCTTACTCAGTTCAACACCACCAAAAATCCTCATGATACCCCACAGGAAATATCTCTCATGCCCCCTATGATCACAGAAATCCGAACTCTTAAAAACCAGATCACAACACATCTCTGTCTAGCAATTAGAAAATATGAAGAAAACTTCACTATTTTTGCATATGCACACCCAGCAGAGGTCACTATGATATAATAATAAAAGAGTGATGTCTCTTCATAAAGTATCAAATACTTGAGTATATTTCCAGACTTATTCTGTGAACTCTATTGTAAAGTAATGTTTTGCTTGCAAGAGCAAAACCAGTGAAGCAAGTTACCGGAAGTACAATTTGCCCTCTCGTTGATTTTCTAAACACAGACTATTTTATCATATGTGCCTGTATGAAAGATTTTTATTTGATTTCCAAATATTGTGTATATTGTTCTTCCTATATAAAAATATCACATATGGTATGGTGTGAGAGGCACTGTTTTCTTGTCTACTGGGATCATGTTCCATCCACAGAATCACTCCTGTTCAAATAACCACTCTAAACATTGACACCCCAGTAAATATTCCATATTACCCTTCTTCTATCTAATCAGACCCCAGTTCCCTGTCTGGTTTATCATTCTCCTGGGCCATGCATTCCCTCATCGACAGCACCTTTACATGGTAACTGTAATCCAAACCAGTATAGTCATACTGGTACATACCAACCAAATTTCTCTGTGAGGCATTCTTTAATACTATTTATGAAATATTTATCTAGGATCCCCTTCATTCTCTGGTTAGCGCTCTTTACTTTCCAAATGCCCTCTTATTGCTGCAGTCCTTTCTGTAGCCAAAGAAGGCTGGGTGCAGCTATCTTCAAAGCTCTTTAGTGTGAATCTGAACACAGACCAGACAGGACCACTCCAGAGCAGCACAATAAGAATCCCTTCCATTGTTCCCTTTCTCCTGCAGCTAGCTAAGCATGTTGCTACCTGTCTTTGGTCTAGCTTCTGTTCCAATTCCAGATGATAGATCATTCACTAGTGCGGCACCTGAGCACTTAAGCTAGAACTCCGATCCTAAATGTATTTGTGATTCTGCAAAACAGGCAGATCAGCTGATGCACACCATACTAAAACGCATTGCATCATCTTAGACTTGCAGTAACTCATGTTCTGAGGCATGCTTTCTCTCTCCTGCACATGCAATCCCCCATAGGACAAAGTACTTACCGCAGTATTCTGAACTTCTCCACTCTATGCAGATATTAAATTTGTTACACATAGCCACATAGGAAGCAAGTGCCACACATGGATTCTGAGTGTATTCCACATCTCGGACCCACAGGTCACAGAACAGCTCAGGTGGAACCTGATAAATAATAAATATATGTGTTACTATTGCACTGTGAATGTACCTTCGTACAGTACTGCAATAGGGGGAATGTGTCCACCACTTCGGGGAACCGATCAAACCTATGACCTACTGACAGGGAAATCACAAGGTCTGCCCATCTGGACTGATGGTACAGAAGAGGCATTGGGCTTGCCTGCCTTCCTGAGTAAATGAAGAGGATTTATTTTCCAAGGGCATCTTAAAATGAAGGCTCCTGATTGCAAAGAGACTGCAGGGAACTCTTAGTTTCCCTGACCGAAGTCATTCAGGATGCTTAGGGCAAAAGCTAATACTATTCTTCTCAATGGAAGGCATAATCACTCTAGACATAATCTTGTGTACTCCGTTCTCTGTTTCTCTTCCTACATATTTATTTACACGTTAGCCTCTCATCTAGCATCACCCTCCTATTTCATATGTGAGAATGCAGGGATCTAGGTTTAATCTCCTTTACAGAAAGACACCTAAAATAAGGTGACCAGAATTTGAAAATGCGCAAGGAGGACATGGAGTTGACAAAAAAAACATACTTGTATATTAGGGTTGCCAGATGGACAGCCGGTATTTTTTGGTTGAGCAAAAAAAAAAGACAATTTTTTCAAACGAGGACAAAAGGAGGACATAATTATTGGGGGAGGACAAGCCCCTCAAAAGGAGGACGTCTGGTCACCTTACCTAAAAGCAATGGTAAGTTTCCAGTGCCTGCTCCTGGCTGACTAGGGGAGAATCCAAAGTAATCAGTAACCGGAAGAGAGCTGGGAAGAATGGCAGATGGAGGCACAAATCGGCATGTTACCTACAGCTGTCAGTGGTTTTTCAGTATCTTTCTACCTTGTCAATGATCTCCCTCCATCTTTGGCAAAACTATGTTTTTATCTAGGTGCTCTGTGTGTTTCTTATTTGCTTTAAATTGGTGGCAAGTGGGCCTATTATGGAACAGATGGATTGGAAGGGCAGAGGGAGTTCAGCTACCAGCCTTGAGCATACACAATTATTGTTCTTATCAATAATATTAGCTATTATGAACAATATTAATGGCGTTATTTTATAATATTGCATATTATGTTATTTAATATTTATATTATTAATATTACTCCAAATTAACATTAAACCTGTATGCAGGCCTGCCAATGAGGAAGAAAGTGCAAAGCACGCAGCTGCCCTCGGATCCAGCGATATAAAAAGGACCAGATCTCAGTCACGGGTGGCACTAAAGGGCTTGCTGGGGAGGCTAGCCCTTAGCCCCACCCCTTCTACCTGAGACCCTGAGTCAGCCTTCCCCCTCCCCCCCGACCTGGCCCAGGGCCCAGCAAAGTCTGGCTGCCCTGCCCATATGACAATTGCTGATTTAGAATGTCAGCTGTATAATGCACATCTCGTATTGAAGAGCTCCATTCTTAATTCTAACCTGAAACAAATTGAGAGGCATAATCCAATGCACATACACCACTCATGAAATCTACAATGCATTATTGCATTTAGCTACATTAAAAACATTGTATCAAATACATATAAATCTATCAAAATTAAATCTAATACAGCAAGCCTCTGAATTAGGTAACTTACATAAGGATGGCAGCTACTGAAGGTCTGATTCAACACCAAGCTGAAACACTTTGAACAGTCCAAAATAGAACAATTAGTTTCCTGGTGCCTGTCTTCTCCAACATACTTTAATGTGTCTGGCACCTGCCAGGTGTCTATAAAATTCGATGGTGCATCAGTTTTGCTTAAAATTGTTCTGTTGGGTAGCATCAAGTCATTGGCTGAGCGTCCGTCACAGAAACCTGCGTATGATCATAGTAAAATATATATTAGGACTGCTGTGGGCTGGGCATCCATTACCTTGATGCATGACTGAAGTACAAATAAATTATCTACTTTTCTGATTAAAATCAATACCGGTAAATGCAGGGTTTGTCTACAGTCAATAAAAGAGCTGTGGGCATAGCTATACCTGGCCCAGGCCGACACTTCAGTTTTACAGCTGAGGCTTTTGGGCTATAAAATTTCAGAATACATATTTGGGTTCAGCCTGGAACCCCAACTGAGACTGTTCCTCCATGCTGGGAGGGTCTCAGAGCTCTGAGCCCAAATAACTACATGGCAATTTCATGGCCTTGCAGTGTAAGCCAAGACCTGAGCTGTGAGACTTGTTGCTGTGGATCTTTTATCACAGTGTAGATATACCCCCAGCATTTAATTATTTACACAGCATATCAGTATCAGAGTTCCACAAAATGTGACAGGGTATTTAGTGGGACCAAAAGGCACAACTATTCATCCTCATGCAAGTGAAGAAAAGTGAAAGTAAGGAAGAGAAATGTTATCTCAGAAATGTTTGATTCAAAGGACTGAATCAAAAAGGGATTCTTAGTAAGACAAAGTTGCTCAGTGTACCAGAAGTGGGTGAAAGTAGATTTACTGCATCGAGAGCTTTCCGAAGGAATTCTATGCCTAAAAGTCCTTGGGTAATAAGGAGCATAACAACTTCTCACAATCGTTTGATGTTTATAGTCTCATAAACCCCTGCGAAGTAAGGAAGTATTGTAAGCATTCCTCATGATCCTCTTGGCAAAGACATCAGAGGAGGAATTCTCTCACCCATACAGAGGGTGCAACATGTGCCCTGCTCTGCCGCTAGTGAACTCTACTACTATTTGCTGGCAGTTAATACTACTGCCACTCACATGAGACCTAAGAGCTACACAAGGATGTTAGTAGACAACTGGGACTAAAGTCTTGTCCACCTCTGTGGAAAGGTGGAAGAGGAAGAGCCCTCTACAGTCTGGCCAGTTTACCATAATGTATTGTAGCTCGAAGTGGGCTTCTGCCTCTATCACATAGACCATCCATCCTCAATATAACTGACAAGCTCTGTGCAGGAGAGAATCACGCCTGGAATGGCACAAAAGTTGAACGGGAGGGACGCATTGATCCATAGGAAGAGCTATTTAGGGCAGTTCATAGAATGAGTGCCCATGGTCCAAGCTCTCAATTTCATATAAACTGAGCAAAAATTCAATTAGGACACAAAGCAGCTCTCTGTTTACCCAACAACGCAAAAAGTGTTAGTGTCATTGTCGTAGGAGAAGGAGTACCCATCAAATGCCTAGACATACTTATCTGACATTGTATCAACTTTTACACACACCCTTCCAAAACAAGCTGCTACTTCTGGGCTGAAATGAACATTAAGAAATAGCACATCAAAGTGTAACTTTTACCCCCCCTCAAGACATTAATATCACTCATCAGCTGAAAAGAATCTGTCTTTTCTACAATGTTCAGAAGGCAACATCACATTTCATTTCTGTTTAAAGCGAATATAGTTGGTAACTTTGAAAAAGGGCAATATTGTGGCAAGAGGGAAAAATTAGGGCAATGTAGTCTGGTAAATATAGAATGGCTGGGTGCGCCATCGATCACCTCTGAAGCCTATTTTCAAGCCCATCAACTATAATAGCAAAAAGATGGACAAATCCACCATCCCTTTTTTCTAGGAAGCACTGTGTATTGCAAATGGCTTTTAGAAAGTTCCATTTTCTCAGTTTCTGCACTCATATGATGAATTAGTTTCAAAGAGATTTGTCCAGTAATTCACGAGGAATCCAATCCTCTCTCAGTGAAAGGAAAATTGGCTCAATTGTATCATTTTTTCACCAATTCGTGGGCCAGATTCTTCTCCCACTGAAATCACTGGCAAAACACCTATTGATATCATTGGTAAGAACAGAAAGCTTTTATAAGTTACAAATAGTTCATGGTGGACACTTATTTCTGACTGAAGCTTTTGTCAGCTTAAGGAGGCCTTGTGAGGAGACAGAGCTTATGAAACAAAATGGGATGAATATGATGAGATTGATGCGAGTTACTTTCAATAGGATTGTTGCCCCATCTGGCAAGTCACTCCCACCATCACACCTTGCACAGAGGGGGGTACATCTAGATTACATCCCTCTTTCAAAAGAGGAATGTAAATTAGGCGCTTCGAAATTGCAAATGAAGCTGGGATTTGAATTTCCTGTGCTTCATTTGCATAATCATGTAATGGCACTCTTTTGAAAAAGCACTGTTTCGAAAGTAAAACCACCGTCTAGACATGGTTCTTTCGAAAAGAAAAGGCTTTTTTGAAAGATCCTATAAACCTAATTTAAGGTGAAGCCTTCCCTTTTCAAAAGAATTGTGTCTAGACTGCGGTTTTACTTTTGAAACAGCGCTTTTTCAAAAGAGCGCCATTACATGATTATGCAAATGAAGCACAGGAAATTCAAATCCCAGCTTCATTTGCAATTTCGAAGTGCCTAATTTACATCTCTCTGTCGAAAGAGGAATGTAATCTAGACACAGCCATGGGGAGTAACTCCCACTGTAAAGGACATTTTTCAAACGAAAGGTTGAAGCCTCACTGAGGTGCTGAGTGGGCACTCTGTCTCATCTCGGTTCTGCCAGGCTGTGTGGCTATGAAACACTGATGTAATTCAGACTCGGCCTTGTCCCTCATCCCATAACCAGCAGTCCATGTCAGGGAGGCTTCGGTATGAAAGTGGGTCCTCTGTATCCTGTGTTGCAGTGTCGTTTCCCTGCTCCCACAGGAGAACTGGAAATGCAGCTTTCTGCAGCAGACTGAAAGATCTAACCAGAGTATAGAGGCAGCTCATTCCATGGTGACCCCTCTAAAATCTGAAACAGTTGCAGGCACCCGTATTCCTCTCTCCTTCAGGCAACAGTACTGCATACACCCTCATGATCTTCCCCAAACCCATGATGTCTCACTACATACAATTTGTTTGGGAGGGGAATCAGAGAATTTATTATCTAAACTCCCTATTGACCAATTTCCTACTGTCTATTACAGAACTTATTCCAAGATGGATAATTTCTGCCATCAAGCAGGAGCACCAAATAGCTCCTCTGTGTGGGTTAAGCAGTCATTTCAGAAGCCATACAGGCAAATCTGCCAGGAAAATATGGAGCAACCCTGCGCAGAAGTAAGGCTTGACGCACCAGTTTAGAAAGAACACCTAAATATCTTGCAATGCTGTTCACAAGCAGGGTGCATTGGAAATGTATTGCTCAGCTCCAGGATTCTCTGAGATAGCAATCAGGCAAGTTAGACAAAGAAATCCTTCAGGCTAAATCTAATCCTAGGCTTAATGGATCATTTTATCTTTATCTTCTTGATTCTTTTTATTCTAAGTAAGATGGACATTAAAAAAGGATTAGGACTAAGTCAGAAAAAAAAGGAAGAAAAAAGCTCACAACAAAGTGAACATAATAATCAAATTTATATAGATATTAAATTCAAGCTCTCCTACTCTGCATGGGGCATGCTACTGTCGGTAGGACATGGAACTTGACTGAGCTATCATTAGTATTTGATACTATGCTACACATATTTGCCCTTTCTGAAATTGGCAAGACAAAGCAGTGATGAACTTTATATTCCTGGTTTCAAGCTCTGCTTTACAGCAGAAGATAATTCAAGAGTCAGAGTGGAGGTTTATATCAATGAATATAATGCTATAGACCTAACATACTTCCAGAAAGAATGAAACCCTGTATACGTATTGTAGAGATGTAATAGTGATCATAATTTAAATGATCATAAGTTAAACACCTCTGTGTGTGTGTGTGTGTGTGTGTGTGTTACATATTGATAAATACAACTCTAAAATAATTGAGCAACAAGGTCAATCTAGAGTTGATCTATGAATTTAATAGCTATCTCTCCCATGAAATAAATGTAATCCTTTGGAAAATGAAAATAGCAGTATTTTTTATCAGATGGACAGCAAACACTAAATCTATAAATGACCTCATTTGACACCAAGGGTGGCTTACTGTAAGACACATTTCATGCTTATGACTGGGCTATTTACTTGGACATTACTTCAGTGTTTGTGCCTGTGATTCAAATAAACCTAAATCCAAAGGCATAATTGCAAAAAAAGAAAATGATAGCACTTCATAGCTGGGCATCAACCAGCATTGCACCAATGAACACAGTTAGCAGTTTTATATTTACACGATATTAATATTTTAATTATATATATATATTCTGTTTTAAAAAAATTAAGCTGCCTCGAATATTTTAAATAGCAAGCCGGGGTAAAAATATTTTAAATAAATAAATAAATAAATATATTAATATTCACAACTATCTAAACTGCTCTAGCTGAACTGCTCTCCATACTGATACCTGTAAGTCTGAACCTACTAAGGATACTATTTGTAGCCAGAAAAAAGCTTCTCCCCTCTTCAGCAGAGCATATGAACATATGAATGCTTACAATACCCTTTACTTACCACATAGTCCCAAGGCTTTTGGCTCACTGGTTGTATTTGACTTTATGATCAACACACCGGTACTGTGAAACCACTGAATCCTGATATTGGTTGGTGTCTCAATTAGGTACATGAAGCCAGTATCCTCAATTTTAAATCCATATTTTCTAACCGTAGGCCAGGCATATCTTGAATTTACAGTTATCTAAAAAGATGGTATAAACAAAGGCACAGCAGTAATTTGAATGCCTCCTTCTACAGGAAGCTATTCTTTCACTTTTACTATTCAAAACTTGGCAGTTGACATAACAAACTTTGACCATTTGAACACAAAGGCAGGCCACGAGGGGGCTGAAATGAAAATGTTTGATCCTTTTCAAACAGTTTTTGAGTCCCTAAGTTCCTTTCCTATAATGCCGGCAACATATCTGATATAGTGTGGTGTGAGCAGGCCTGCGGAGCGGGGGAGGGGAGAGGGAAGGAGGGCAGTTGCCCATGACACAACACTTCTAACAGGCCCAGGGCTTCCAGCGCAGTGAAGTGCTGTGCCCGGTACCCCAGGCCCTTTAAATCACCACTGGAATACCATGCGGCATACTTTGGGTAGCTCTAAGAGTTGGGGGACAGGGCAGCGTGGTGAGTTCCGGCCAGCCCTGCCCCTTCTACACGAGGCCCGCACCTTCCAGGAGCACCGAGCCATGCCCTGCCCCTGTACCATGTTGGCTCCCCTGGGTATGAGTCCCAGTTTCAAAACTAACTTTTCATATCTGGGTTTCTTCTTTTAAAAAATATATTTTGAAAGTCTATACACAAGAAAAAAACCTCCTTGTTAGTTAATGATGAAATGACCATCCTATCACCCATCTAACCAACAGAATGGAATATTTCAGATGATAAAATACTACAGTTTTATATAGAAATGTTTTCAGTAATAAGAATAAAACAGAGAAAATTACATGACAGATAAAATTGTTTCTAAATGAAATAAGATGTTCAAAATTTCACACACACTTATCTTCAAGGGAGATAACTGGATACCACCAGGGCAGTGAAATGTGTCCATCATGATTGTTAAAGGGGAGTATTATACAGGACACAAGCATAAATTACAAATGATTAATGGCTCTCTTGCTCTGTGCTCCTGTTCATAAATAGACCCACATATTTTAATCTGTTCAATTTTACAAGTTACTTTCACAATTTCAAACCGTTAATATATAGAAACTCCATTGTGCTGGCAGAGAAAAAGACCAATGAGCTAGTGTATAATCCCCATTCGGAGGTACCAGACATTTTCTGACAATTGTCAATAATTAAAATCAGAAATAACCAGCACCTTATTTCGCACCTTATGCAACTATCTATAATGTCCAAAAGTTTCAGAGGGGTAGCCGAGTTAGTCTGTAACAGGAAAAACTTAAAAGACAACAAATAGTCTGGTAGCACTTTAAAGAATAACAAAACATGTAGATGGTATCATGAGCTTTCATGGGCACAGCCCACTTCTTCAGATGATGGGTCATCTGAAGACGAAGGCTGTGCCCATAAAAGCTCATGATACCATCTACATGCTTTGTTACTCTTTAAAGCGCTACAAGATTATATGTTGTCTTTTAAGTTTTATCTGTAATGTGTAGGAGAAATAATTGTGCCATCATGTTGAACAACATATAGTGGAGGTATCATCTTGCCAGTATCAAAACATTCTTGGGATTTCTAAACACTATAGTTGACAATTTCCTAACTCCAAAAGAGTTATAGCCAATATGGGGGAACTAAAAGTTAATGGTAGTTTAGGTGCAAATGTTCATACTAAAATAAAATGATACAAAATTAACAGGTCACACATTAAATGGATTAATAACTGGCTAACTCATAGGTCTCCAGTGGGGTCCTGTGGGGGTTAATTCTTAGCAATACAGTATTTATCGTTATTATCAATGAGCTGAAGGAGAACATCAAATCATCACTAATAAAGTTTTCAGGTGACACAAAAACTGGGAAACAGGTCACTGAATCAGAACAATTTAAAATGGCTTGGTAGACTGGATGGGAGCAAACAATATGAATTTTAATGTAGCTAAATGTAAATATGTAAATCTGACAACAAAGAAATTAAGCCATACTTACCAGATGGGGGATTCTAACATGGGAAGCAATGGCACTTTAAAATTGGGTGAACAAGAGCTCCCACAATGGGCAAAAGAGCTAATGTGATCCTGGGATGCATAAACAGGGGACTCTTCAGTAGGAGTAGAGAGGTTATTTTACCTCTGTATTTGACAAGGATGTGGCCATTGCTGGAATACTATGTTCAGGTCTGGTGCCCACAATTCAAGAAGCATGTTGATAAGTTGGAGAGGGTTCAATGGGGAGTCATGAGAATGATTAAAACATTAGAAAACATGCCCTATAGTAACAGTCATGGAGTTCATTGTATTTAACTTAAAGAGAAAGTCAAAGGGTGAGTTATGACAGTCCCTAAGTAGCTACTTGGGGAGTAACTGTCCATGACAATGTCAATCTGGCAGAGAAAGGCGTAACACTATTCAATGGCTAGAAGTTAAAACTAGACACATTCAGGCTGGAAATAAGACACACATTTTTAACTATATGTGTCATTAACCTCTGAACAGTTTACCAAGGATAGTGGTGGATTCTGCATCACTGACAATTTTTAAATCAAGATTGCATTATTTTTTTAAAAAACCCATGAATTATTTTGGAGATATTTTATGGCAGAGGTGAGGAAACATTTTTGGGTCAGGGACCACTGACTCACAGAGAAATCTGGTAGGGGCCGCACACACATGAGAAGCAAATGAAAAACCAAACAAAAACACTCCTCTCTGATTGAGAAGGAGAAAGAGACTCCCCACATTCCTCTTGCACACCAGAGCTTATGGCAGGCCCAGGCTAATAGATTCTGTGTGCTCTAGCCCCACAGTGGAGGGCTGGAGTGCTGGGGGGAGCCCTAAGCCTCAGGGGTCAGCAACAGACAATCGGGGGGCCACATCCAGCCCCCAGGCCTGAGATTCCCCACCCTTGTTCTATGGTCTGTAGTGTGCAGCCGATCAGATTAGCTCAAAATGACCTTTGAATATCTGGCTCTATTAAGAGGGAAGTAAAATAGTATATAAATAGCAAGAACCAACCAAATAAATCAACAAACAAAAAACCCCCTTAAAACTTACTTTTCTGTTTATACGATCAACAGTGATTTGGTTTGACAAATAGGTTAAATTCAGCATTGCCAGGCACAGCGAAGTCAAGTTTAGGTGATCCTGCAGAGAAAGCAAAATTTGTGAATCTCAGTTAAGATGGGAATAATTTATATGCTAATTATGTACTATTTTTTGGTAATGGGACAGTAGGGGCATTTTTGTATTTCAGTTTTTGAAAGAGGAACACATCTGCTGAATGAAGTTTATACAAATTAACTAAGAACTCTTTCTTTAAATGAGCTATGTTTGTGGGGTAATACTCATTTGAATAACATTGATTTAAAATGTCTACATTAAATGTGTCAATTCATTATGTTCTGGAAATCTGTATTAAGCCATCACATTTTTAAAAAGCTGAAATACAAAAGGTTAAAACATAGCAACAACACAAATTAGGGGCAAGGAGAAGAATCACATGAAGAGGAATTGAAAAGATTCAAACTGTTTACCTTTGGGTAGACACAAATATGAGAGGGAAAGATCAATATACAGAAAATTGCAAGTTTTCCACAAAAGTCATATCAGGAATGTATGCATAATTCTATTCACTCTCTTGTAACATAAGAATTACAGATATTCGATGCAATAAATAAGTAGCAAATTCAAACACATTAAAATACTTTTTCACACAATACATAATTAGCCAGTGGAACTCATTGGTACAAGCTATCATTGAGTGTGAAGGATAGTTTGAAGGATTTACAAATGAGCCAGACATTTATATGGATAATGAGAATATCCAATTATACTAGTAAAGACTGGGAAGGAAACACAAAGAATTTGGGAAGATGTACAAATTCTCATGTTTCACGCCATAAACCAATGTCTAGACTATTGGGGATTGGGAGAGAACTATTCTGGTGAGCAGGGCGGGGAGAAAGTTATCCTGTAACTGCTTACTTCAGGGTTTCTTCTCTGAAACAGCTGGCACAGCCTCTTTAAGAGATTAAATACTGGAATAGATGGACTGCTGGTCTGATCTAGTCTGGCAATTCTTATGAACCATCATCTTTGAAGTTTGAGTCTGGCAATTTAGTAATGCAGAAGTTTCTGAATTAAGCTGTTGAGATTCCTATATCGTAGTAAGTTGGTAGGCTGTGCTAGTCTGCAAATATATGATACGGTGAAAGCCCAAAGGGAGTTCAGGTGTTAATTATCACCCTGCAAGACTTTATATAACAGAACACAGAGGGGATCACTATAGTCTGTTAAATTCTAAGGACAGGAGTTTCCCAACCAAAAAAAGTCATATAAAGAAAGATACATAACGTTGGTGTTTACTAAGGTTATGTCTACAAAGCAGGACTAAAGCCAAAATAAGCGACGCAACTTGAGCAACGTCAATTGTGTAGAGTAAGTCGAAATAGCTTATTTTGGCTACACAGCCTGAAGTCCGAGAAAGAGCACTCTACCTCCAACTTCCCTTACTCCTTGTAAAATAAGGGTTACAGGAGTCAGAGTAGGAAATCCCCCAGCTCGACATTATTTTGACATTTTGTTGAAATAACTGCTTGTTGTGTGTAGATGCGGACAATGTTATTGACGTTATTCTGAAATAACACTGCTGTATAGACGTACCTTTCGTGAGACATTATAGACCTGGTTATTTGCGTGTTTGAGACATATGTGTAATCATTTAACCTCTCCATGTTTCAGTTTTGCCATCTACAGTATGAAGTTAATACTGATGAATCAGTAATCTTGCAATAAGGTCATACATTAATACAATAAGGTGAAAAAGCACTATACTCTTTTAATTAGAGATATTTAAAATTACACATTTTGATCATTTGTAATGAAAAATTCCATATTATTTTATATATAAGTATACAAAACTAAAACTTATATACTTGTATTCATGCTACTATTTAACCTTGTCTAGCAATCAACGTCGTAAAGAATAAAAATAGAGTTAGTTACCATATTGGTATTTCTGCAGTCAAGGATATGGATAGTTATAGTTTCATCTTGTGTTTGGCTAACAATGTAGGATGCCTCTTTAAATAAAGCCAGATGATTCCCATCAAAGGTTACAAAGCTCAGATCAGAGAAAAAAGTACAGCGACCTAATTTAAAAAAAAAGGCATTTCCTAACTTATTTCATTGTTTCGGTAAGCAACATAATGCATGCAAATAAAATATCATAAATGTTTATATTATTTACCCTGCTCTAAGGTTTTACTAACTCAGCAAAACATTTTTGGCCATTTTTGTCCCCACTTAGCTGTCACTTAACTACAAATGGACAATAATGACCTACATTCTGCAGGTTTCAGGGGGAGCCTCTTGCAAGCATCAAGAATAGAATCTGATTCATGTGACCAGACGCAATCTTGTAGATTTTCATGACTCACAAGATACTAAAAGTTATGGAAGGTAAGAGTTATTTTGGACCTTGAGTTGCTTCTCTTTCTACTCATGCTCCTGAATGGAGAGTTGTGATGGAAACCAGTCCTACTGCTAAAGTATTTCTGCTTCAAAAAGCAAAGAGTTCTAATTTCAGTAACTACAAATAAAAAAACCCTGAGTAGTCATTTGCATAGCTTGTCCTTGTATCAATTCTTTGCCATTATGTACCTAACTCTGTTCCCATTAAAGCCAATGGAAGTTTTGCCTTTGACTTCAGTAGAAGTAGAATTAGGCTTCTATGCTCTATTAAGCAATGAGCAAGCATGAGAAGGTATATATAAACTCCATCTTCTATTCTTACTCCAGAAAAACAGAAAATTTAATTCTCAATCTGCTTATAAATTTAATAATTTGTTCCATTCATTCAGTTTTACAAGTACTGCTGGATAAAACTTACATGCACATTCCCATTTGGGGCAGCATTTGTCACCATTGATCTGAACAGCAAGCCCGAGAACCCCACAGCTGGGCTGAGTTGCATTGTAAGGGCAGTTCTGTGACTTGTTAACTTGGATTAGTTGTCCATCCAGGCAAATGTGTTTTATGCACTCACTCTCTGTGGTTGGCTAAGGCATATTTAAAAGACACAGGTTACCATTCTTACCAACCTAAAGACACAACATTACAGCATGCTAACTGAAAAGACAAGTAGGACTGATTTTCAGATACACTGGACACTCAGAAACCCCAGGGTAGCCAAAGGAAGCTAGTTTAGCACCTCAGAAAAGCAGGCCATGTGCAAAAATGATACAAAACCATGGTTCTGCTCTAAATTCCAGAACAGTATTATTAAATTTAGACAATACATCAGGCAGAAATAGAGAATAAAATAGAGAAATAGAGAACAGAGCTTAAGAAAGAAGATTACAAGGATCCTAGAGATGGCAAAGGTAGCTAAGTGAGTTTAAGGAACAGTCATTACAGAAAGCAATGGACCAAAAGTATACCGAGTAATGTATAATGCTACAGGGTGCCAAAGGTATCCAATGAAAAAAATCACCTCTTTTGGATTGCAGTAAGTATGAAATCCATTAACTGCAAAGGGATTCCTCTAGATTTACCCACATGTAACTGAGATAAGAATCTAACCCCATAGTTTGATAGATATTTTTAATACTGAATACAAAACCATATGGCCCATCAATAACTATTTCAGCACTAGTTATAAGGGAACATATCCATACATAAATCTACATTCCTGTCTATTTACAGATGGGCAGAGAGATAACCATGAACAATGTTACTCACTACACAAGTTTGGAGTGTTGCTGTCTCTCTAGATGGCATGAAAACTGATGCTGTGACTCCTGAGATAGCTTCAGCTGTTGTTAGCCCACCAGAATACTCTGTGGCAGACTCATAAAGTGGTTTGGTAGCATTTGGGTGTGTTGGCATCATTAACAATGAAATCATTGAGGGTGTGTGGACCTCAGTCACAGATGTTGTCCCAGGTTTCGGAGTTAGAATAGTGGTGCCTGATGGTGTGGCACTAGAAAAGGCAGTTTTTTGCTCAGAGGATGAATATATGGTAGACAAAACTGATACACCTAGTTTATGAGGCATAACCGTTGTATTTGTGAAATATGGAGAATGAAGTGTCTGTGTTATTTTTAAGGTCGGGGTGACAAAATCAGTGATGCTTGAAGTATGAACCGTCTGTGGTCTTGTAACCAGCTCTGGCCCTGCAGGTTCAGCTGTTTCTGAGGCAACGGCTTTGTCTGTTTCTGAAGGAACAGAAAAATATGTTGGCTTCCCTGAAAACAAAGAGGTGGTGAGGGCTTCTCTTATCGCTGCTGAAGTAGCTGATGCTGTAGTGATGTTTAAACTACTTACTGATGATGGTGCTAAAACAGTGGTTGTTCTCACAGAGCGTGCTGTAGCTGGTAACACTGTTCCTACTTGGAACATGGAACTGTAGGAAGTGGTTGAAAGTGGCACATGCTTAGACAACACCACAGTCTTCTCTGTAGCACTTTTGCCCACTGATGTAGACGTTGTTGAAATCACTGGAGTTAAAAGAGTGCCTGCTAATGACTCCTCCTCCATTGTGGTGGGAGTGCTTGATGTTTCTGACAGAAAACGTGATGTAGATGTTATCTTTGATAAAGGAAATATGGATATAGAGGCTGTAGATAGCTGTCTAGGAACTAGGGGTTCAGTCACTGCTGACTGCTTTGTGGATTCAAAACTGAAATCTGGCTTTTGGGCTGGAAATGACAGAAATTCCTTTTTCATTGTAGCTAATGGTCTTGTACTGACAGTCAAGTCCATTTCTTTTCTGGTTAAGGTTGGGAATTTTGTCTGCAAAGATGAGGCCGTTCCTGGTACATAAGTCAGTGAAAGTGTATCAGATAAGGGTGACACTTTTTCAGTAGTCAAAAGAACTTTTTCTGGAACTACTGAGGTAGGAGAGAATGTTGAAATAGCTACCTCAGGTAGTGAAGCAGTTAGGAATGGGTACAGGGTAGCAAATTCTCCTAGAGATTGTGTTGTGCTAAAGAGATCTTTTGGATGAGTAGTGGTGGTCAAAATTTCCACTGGAGGCTGGTATGTTGTGGCACTTTCTTTGCTTGCCAAGTAAAGTTTGGAAGTTGAAGGAACATGTTCTATTGCCAATTTGGTAGCGAAATGTGGTTTAGATGACTCCTCTCTGGTCTGTATAGAAACCATTTCTGCTGATGAAGTTTGAGCTGAGAAAGTACCTCCTGAAGTTGTAGCAGAAGAGTAATCTTTGACTAATGATACTGGAGTTGTAGATGCTATTTGTTTTACTGTTTCTGTGATGTTTTTAGTTGGAGGCGCTAAGATGGTGGATACTGTTTTAGTATCTACTGGGGGCTTTGTAGTTGCTGGCTCCTTAGGTATCTTTTGTGTTAAAGTGTGTGGAGAAACTGATGTCTCTGCCAGATATTGAGTGGCAGAGAACATGTGAGGTGACTTTGTTAATGGAAGTATAACAGAAGTGGACAAAGTTGACCTTTCTTTGGCTGCTGTCACTTTTTTACTAGTTATTAGTCTACTGCTGAATTCAGAATATGGGGATAATGTGGCATCAGTAATATTTAAAGTGACTTTTGCTGGCAATTCATCAGGAGATAGTGCTTTTAATGAACTTGGTTGGTCTGCTATAGTGGATAAAGTTGAGGTAGTCAAATGTGGAGTCTTTCCTTCTGCTGGAAAAGTAGATTTTAGTATTGTTGTTTTGGGATATAAAATACTGGTTGTTATAATAGCAGCTTCAGATGATGTACGCACAGAACTACTAGCTATCATTGATACCTGAGTTCTAAATGTGGACAGTGGAATTTGGGAACTTGCTGGTGAGGAAGCAAATGTTGTTGGCTTTCTGGCATGTACACTAGTAATTGTTTCTGTTTGTGATTCATCGGGAGGGACAATCATCCTTGTTGTTTTAGTCTCATTAAGAAGAGTATGTGGAGATTCAGTGATGAATGTTGTTTGTATTGATTCCAATTTTTTAGTAGCCAGTGGAATTGTAGGGACCAAATCCATGATTTCTTTTGCAAAAGCCGATGTTTTTGTTGCTGATGTGGTCGTTCTAATGGTGTCGGATGCAATGCTCATTGTTGTTGTATTTAGAAACAGAGGTGATTTGTATTCAGTAGATGTTCTTTGAGAGGATGTGGTTGGCTTTGTGGGCAAAGGAGGAGCTCTGGCACTCTGAGATGAAACAGGGTATGTAGTGAGTAAAGTAGTCAGCGTTTCTGTCATATTTAGAACTATGAATGGATATTTAGTCGTTGATGCTGTCTGCAAAGTTTCTTTGGATGCTGTTAAAGCTGGAGAAGCAGCACTTATATCTGATAGTGAAGGCCTTTTTGTAGGAAGAGTGCTGAGTTTTACAGTTGAAGCTGAACTAGAAAAATATGAACTTGATAGATGCTCCCCACTCGTTGTTTGTATTATTTCTTTCTTATCAGTTGTAAATAGGAAGCCAGTTATTCCTGATGATGATGACATCTCTTTAATTTGCAGAGCTGTTGTCCTTGCATCATGAGTGGCGGCAAGGAATACCCCTGTACTACCTGTCAAGTACTGAACCATATCTGTAGGAATTTCAGTAATCGACAGTGTTACAGGTAACAGTGGAATAGGGTGTGTAGGTGGTGGAAAAAATGTGGTCTTTATTCTTTCTTTGGTAAAAACTACTGTTCCTTTTGTTGTTTCTGAAGTGGTTGGTGGCAAAAATGATGTTTCAGTGACATTAGCTAATGTGAAAAAAGTTTGCTCTGTACTCAGTTTTGTTTCCTCTGAAGTTCTTGTCTGATTTGCTGTTGGTGCGTAAGTAGAGAATTCCAAAGATGGTGACACAGTAGATTTGGTGAAATATGTAGTTGTTTTTTCTGTGTCTGATACAAAGGAAGGGGCTGTAGTTTCTTCTGGTTTTAGTTTGGTTTCCACTGTGGGACGTATCCTAGTGCCTATTTCTGAGATTTCTGTTATTGCTGAAGTTGTGACTGGTGATTCTGTTACTCTTACTATTGATGATGTTCCAGTAAAAATAAAAGTAGAAATTGGTTTTCCTACTGTTTTAGTGATTTCAGTCACTGCATGTGTTGCAGTTGCAGACTGAGGCTCCGTACCATGAAATACCTTAGCAGTAGTACTACTGATTGCTTGTATACCTGCAGAGATTTCTGTAGTGGCCGAAATTGTTGATGGAAAAACATCAAGTACTGAAGGCAAGCTTGCATTAGATTTTGGTGATACAGACATTGCAATAGTGCTTCTGCCAGATAATGTAGTTTCAGTTGAATATGTCGAAACATTTAGTGATATTTTTGTGTCTTTTGTTTCAGGTATAGGAGATGAGGTTATTATTTTACTCAAAACTGCTGCATCCGAGACACTGAAAGCACTAGAAGTTACATGTGAAAGAGTGGGTGTTTTCATTGTGGATAGTGAAGGTTGAACATCAACTGCAGGCTCAATGCCTAAAACCAGACAAAAATAAATGTTAGTTCATGAATATTTATTATTAGAGTTATTAGTGGTGGCAGGGATCCAATTAAGTAATCTATTTGAAAGATTTGTTTTCTTTATAACTTGCCTTAGATTTTAGAAAAAAGAAATGTTTTCACTGAAAAGCATGTTAAATGATAATTCACAATTTACAAATGGGGGCATCTAAAGTTGCATATGTAAAAACTGCCTTTGGTCACATAAGTAAGTATTCTAATTTTCACTGATATTAACTCAGTATATTGCAGGGGTTCCCATCTCTGAAAAAAATCAAGCCATTTATGTGGGTTGCTAAATATGGACTGAAATGTCTAACTGTAGGCACCCATGTTTGAAAGTTCTGGCTACACCACTTTAGGTAGCTAGTAATGCCATAAATTAAATATCAAATTAAATGTAATAAAATGAAAATGTTTGAACATACAATCTTCAAAATAAACACATCTCTGAGTGACTTCATCCAACACCATATGGGGAGGACACATGGGGACACATCCTTCCACTCTAAAAGAGAAGCACAGTTACATACTAAGTATTTCATTTTAGAAAAGCAGTCTACATTCCTGAATAACCTGAGGCATAGAATCCTGAGAATGGACCTTTCTAATGCTCATCAGCTCAGGAAATTTCTTCGGGGATGTGAATGACACCATTTCCATTCCTGCAGATCTGAGCTAAGATGTGAACTATGTGTCTCTCTAACTTTGGAATGAAGGTTGGTCCTTCCAATGATAAAGACTTTCATTTAGAAGTGTCAGAGAGCCAATGCCCTCTGGAACAAAATGGTGTTCAATAGCTTTGTTAGGGACAGATGCAGTTACTGCAATGCTGTCATGAGAGGAGCAGAACCAGCGCTATTTGACATCAACTGACTATCACATCATTTCAATTATACTCTTAATTTAGAATACTCACTATCTTGAAAGAGGCAGCAAATCTGATAAATTCTAGTTTCTGGCTATGGGCACCTGTTTACTGCCATTCAAGGACATCACATTAATGTAGCTGCTGCAATAGTTACAATTCCACTCTATGACTTCCTCCTCCACTGAACTTTGATAAGTTAATACAATACCACAGCACTGAACTATATCCAGTGCCGTATATACTTACCATACTATATAAATATTACTAAAATTATGTACTTTTATTCTAGAGAAATATAGGTACTTACTTTGGTACATCCTGACAGTTTTGTCCCAAAGGGTCTCTGCATGTTTTGAAACAAGGGCTTCTACACGCATCATAACGCCACTCACATGTAGAATGGGCTGGGAACTTAAATTTGGCATCTGGAAGAACACATAATTTATTATACAGAGACATATGTATATACCAATATACATATGTACACATATATATTTAATTATACATACACATATACACACTCTAGGGTGAAACAAAAAACAGGACTATGTAGCACTTTAAAGACTAACAAGATGGTTTATTAGGTGATGAGCTTTCGTGGGCCAGACCCACTTCCTCAGATCAAATTGTGGAAGAAAATAGGCATGACCATATATACCAAAGGGATACAATCAAAAAAAGTGAACACATATAAAAAGGACAAATCAAATTTCAGAACAGAGCGGGGATGAGGGGAGGAGAGGTAAATGTCTGTGAGCTAATGATATCATTACAAAGATAGCTTCCCCAATTATCACCTCTAATATCATTAGCTCACAGACATTTACCTCTCTCCCTCATCCCCCCTCTGTTCTGAAATCTGATTTGTCCTTTTTATATGTGTTCACTTTTTTTGATTGTATCCCCTTTGGTATATATGGTCATGCCTATTTTCTTCCACAATTTGATCTGAGGAAGTGGATCTGGCCCACGAAAGCTCATCACCTAATAAATCATCTTGTTAGTCTTTGAAGTGCTACTTAGTCCTGTTTTTTGTTTCAGCGAGACTAGACTAACACAGCTACGTCTCTATTACTACTCTAGGGTGGGCACACTTAAAAGGTTCATTTTGGTTCTACACATCTATTTCTGGAAAAATCTCTGACAATTTTTATGCCATGCAGTAGAAACTGTGACAACATTCTAATTAACATACTGGCATCTGTTTTCTAGTGCATACTAAAACAATGAAGATTCACAGTGCAACAAGAATTGACAAACAGTTCAGAAGAATTTTTAAAACAATCCTCACAAATGAATAAACTATTTAACTTTTCTAATAACTCTTAGAATTTAATTGAGATTACCTATCTCTGAGAACTGGAAAGGACCTGTCCAGTCTCCTGCTTTCACAGCAGGACAAAGTACCATCCCTGACAGATTTTTGCCCTAAATAGCCTCCTCAAGGATTGAACTCAGATCCCTAGGTTTAGAAGGCCAATACTCAAATCACTGAGCTATCCCTCCCCCTTTTGCTGAACTGCTGTAGATTTTCAGTGGAGAAACAACATGGCACCAATGTGAGTAATGTTGTTCACTGGTCTCATTACTATGAAGGACTTATAAGAACATGCCATTTTATTTAATGTGCTACTTTTATGATATTTTGAAAATAGATTGCATCAGAAAGAGACATTTATTTGGCATGCAAAATTAGCCAATATAAGATTTCCAGAAGGTTTGTACAATGCAACTGCTTTTATTTTTGAGAGAAAAAAATAAACTCCATTTCACACAAGCAAATAATCAGAAATCATTAAATTTAAAAAAAAAATACAAGACTAATGGTTGACCTTTTCAGAAACAGTAAAAAGTCAACATTTTAAAAGAGGACTATAACTGAATCAGAGAATACTTTTCGGGCTCGAATGATAGGTGACCCTTAGCGTGAGAAGCCATTAAGATATATGCAGGAGTATGGTCTACATTTCTCCTATTTAAAATGACCAAGAATCACTCCGGATCTTGCAAAACTACAATCAGAGTTCCCATATCACCTAAAATGGGGTGTCCTGATAAATTAAATCAATAGTATGGTGAATTTTAAAAAATCACCTGTATCACCATAGTAATGTCTTTGTGGGACAGCGTTTATTAAAAGGTATTAAAATCACAAAATTGAAATATAATTAGTGAATGCAGGTAGAGAAAGTATGAAACTTTTGCACAGGAGCAAGAGAAGGAATTTGGGAAACTTTCATCAATAAGTTGTGCTGCCACAATTTTAATTAAATAATGCTGTCAATTCATAGAAGGAAATCTTAAGAAAACAAATAAAGGGGGAAGTATAAACCAGCCACCTCAGCTCAGTGTGTGCGTGCATGTGTGTGCATATATACACACAAAGATTATTTAAAGCCAATGCTTAATTTGTGTGGGGGCTTGCCAGGCTGAGCCCTTTAACCTCTGTTCTTGGCAGCTCATAGCCCCAGCAATTCTGAGTTTGCTCCATTCAAGGGCAGACTGGCCCAGTGGGATACTGGGAATTTCCCGGTGGGCCGTCATCCAGTGGGCCATCGTGTCCGCACGTCATTGCCCTCACTCCGAGTAGCTTCGCATCTGCGCTGAATGCGGCACACAGAGCCCAACGCTCCGCCTGCACCGCGTGCCGGACATGATGCAGGGAAAGGGGGCGGGGCTTGAGGGGCACGCAGGGGTGATGTCATGGGGAGGGCTGTTCTCAACCCATTTCCCGGGCCTATTTTGATTGCCAGTATGCTCTTGGCTGCATTAGATAGGAAACTTTTAAAAAAATAATTGCTTGAGCCCTGGCACCTCCTTCATTCCAAACTGAGCATTTTTTCCAGTTCTCCTTTCTGTTTGCCTGATTCTGCTGTATCCATTTGTGTGCTAATCCCAAGGACAATGTTAGATTAGCATCCAGGCTTCTCAAAGCTCCGGCAAACTCCAACAACTACAGGGAATCAAAAATGTATCCAGGAATCTGCATATCACTGCAGTGTCCTAGCCCAAGGCTCTGTTCTCTGGTTGCACTGGCAGTGGGAGTAGGGTAAGTGCATTATATGAGCCTCTCTGTTGTCTCTATGCCATCAGCCAGTGGTTTTCAAATGAGGGATCACAACCCAGTACTGGGTTGTGGAATGTCAGGCACTAGGTGTTGTTGCTGCAGAGTGAGCAGTAGGGTTGCTAAGGCAGGCTACCTGCCCCTACCCTGGCACCGCAAGTTTGGCTCCTAGGCGGGGGAGTGGGGAAGAGTACATTTGGCTCTACATACTGCCCCTGCCCTGAGCATTACCTCACACCCCCATTGGCTGAGAACCTGCTGTTGGCTGCTTCTGTGGCGCAGCATTGTTTGCGATGCCAGAAGAGGCAGGAAGCTGCCTTAACCCCTGTGCTGCTCCACTGACTGAGAGCCGTTCACGGTAAACCCCTCCTGCCCCAGCTCTAGCCCCCCACCCAAGCCAGAGTCCCCTCCTATACTCCAAAGCTCTCATCCTCAGACCCACCTCAGAGCTCACACTTTCATCGAATTATGTTGGGCCGCAGGCATCAACCATTTTCTTCCACTGGGTCACGAGAAAACCTTGGCCAAAAGCGGGTCACCCTTCCATTAGTGCAATCCTTCCTTAGCACATTAAACTGGACACCAGGCCCGATAATGCCCCCGGCGCAACCTGGCGTAGAGTAGCTCTACTGCACAGGCTGTTTTAGTGATGAGGAGGCAACGTTTGTTACTTGAAAATATATTTTGCTACAGCATATAGTTGTATTTTATAGATACAACCATACGCAGGGACTCCTGCCCCCCCAAAAAGTACTGATCTTTGCTTGAGTGAAGATTGAAGTTTCAGGGTCTTTAATGTACTGCTATTTTACACCTGTTCAGAGGCATACAATCATTTTCCAAAGTACTTCAGATTTTTTTTCTCTCTTCAGCCTAGACATATCTTCACTGATGGGTAGGGAATATATTATTACAAGCAATACAACCCCCTTCTAGCTAGATACAAGTAATAATTCTCACAGCACAGAAGAAAATAAGTAAACCCAAGTTTTTGAATCTTCCGCATTTTCTACACTAAAAATATATCTGTTGCCATCTAGTGTTATCCTCTAGCATTACCAGTCCGTACAATATCCCTGAATTCTTATTTCTATGAAAAACACTGGTTTTGTTGTTACTAAGTTACATATTCTATATATTATTACATATTCTATACGTTATGTGTGTCCTGTTCCAGTGGAAGAAGCTGCCATGGCTTAAATCTGATAGTGATGGGAGAAGAGGGAATTCTTTACATACAATTCTCAATAACAAGTAGATTTTTTTATATTTTATGTAAACAGAGTTGATATGCAGGCAGGAGCCCGGAGGTGGAAGGATATATGGCATAGGGACATACCATATATGGATAATATGAGGAGATTATAAAGGATTATTTGCACATGGAAAAAAAGGTCTCTCTCACACTGGCTTCATACATTAATTTCTTGCTTTATGGAAATGTCCTGCACTTGGAATATCCTGTCCTTCAAACCATTTCCCCTGCTAACAGTTTTACATGTCCACAGTTAGAATTAATAAAATACAATAGATATTCCTAACCCTGCAAAGAGTGTCCTTGTGGACTCAATAACCTGCCATTGTGTGTCCTTGTGGACTCAATAACCTGCCACAATAGTCTTTATGCAACATATGGGCCACAATAACTTCCTTCATCCAAACACAAGAGAAGTAGACAGACAAGGTATGTGCTTGAAATATTCCATGAAAACAGTAACCACAATTGGAGAAAATACCTTTAAAATGCTGTTATTTCCTTTTCCCCAGAATATGTATCTATTTTCGCCTGTGTTTGTGCAATTTCTAATTCCGAAATGGGACAGCCATTGGCACTCTTATGAAATTATTAGGAGGTCTAGATGACTGAGTAGTTATTTCTGCATATTTCACAGTACTTTTTTCTCAAACCACTCACAACATTTTATAACACCACAGAGACCAGTAGGGGGAATAGTAACACGCATGCTTTTCTCCCAAATAGCCTTACGTTAAGCATTTAGTTGAGACACCTATACAAACATATATTAATATCATGCATCTCACCCTTCAATTCAACCTACCATCAAAATATTGGATTCCTTTTTAAAATACAACATAGGAATGACACTGAATGTTGGGCCCTCATGAAGGACTCCAGAGGAGTAAGTCAATCAACAGAATCATGGGGTGGGGAAAATTCAGTGAGGCAGGTGCACCAAATCAAAGCAGGTGACTAGCACACAGCACCATATTCCAGTAGCATTCTTGCTAGTCAGACTACCTACCCCCCACTTAACAACATAAATTCCAAGCTTTATACATGATCTATTACAGTGAAACCAAACAGTTTATTTCTCCAGCCCAAGTCATCTGGGACTAACA